AAGAAAATAGATCCTTGCTCATCAGCCTCTCGTGCTGCTTAACACACTAACTACTCTGGTGTCTGTCTCTGCCCATCTGTTCTTTTTCTGGTCAGAATCTGAATGTCAGATGTTACATGGTATAATGTAAACAAATTGCAAAGGTATTTCAAAAGAGAATGATTTGAATTCCAAAGATTTAAGAGAGGCCCTTGGAAAAAATTCATGAAGGCTTCCATATTTTTACAGAAATAGCCCTCTGCAAAAGTCAGAGGGGACGTAAGGATGTCTATTATGCCATCCTCCAGCTGTGCAGAGTGACTACACTCCTCAAAACAGTACCTGATAAGTTACTTTGAGGACTGATGCAGAGTTGCAAGTATAACTCAATTTTGAAAGTATTATTTTTAATTGACACATAATCATAACCTCAGCTTTTAAAGACAAAATTTCAAAATCAGGTCCTATTCAACCTTTGTGCCACAAAAAAACTGAAATTTTGGTCCATTTTCTTTATAGATTCACTTTGAGAGGCCTTTTTCAGGCATAGTTATTCTCAAACAACAAGAAACTCCTATAAATTATATTGCCACAAGAAGTCTCTTATTTTTGCTATAATTGCCATCATGGCATAATGCAGGTATTTCAGCTGCCAACACACCAGGCCAAACTGCCTTGCTGGAGTGCTGTGTCTCTAGACCCTTTGGTTTGTCCGCAGAGGAATCTATCTTTAGTGGCCTCTTCCATGATATTTTGTATGAGCACTGGTCTGTTTTCTCAACCCCCAATGTGGGGTGCAGCTGCCTCCTATGCCCCTCCTTCCCTTAGGATGCGGAAGGGAGAGCTGTTTGACTATCTCACAGAGAAGGTAGCCCTCTCAGAAAAGGAAACCAGGTAAGGGTTGAGCCTGCAGCCCCAGGGGTGAGCAGGGGGTGGGACAGGGCAGGGAGGAGCCAAGGAGGAGACTGCACCCGCCTTCCCTTCCCTCAGGTCCATCATGCGGTCTCTGCTGGAAGCAGTGAGCTTTCTCCATGCCAACAACATTGTGCATCGAGATCTGAAGCCCGAGAATATTCTCCTAGATGACAATATGCAGATCCGACTTTCAGATTTCGGGTTCTCCTGCCACTTGGAACCTGGCGAGAAGCTTCGAGGTGAGGGGATCTAGTGCCCTTATAGGCTTGGGAGGGGAGACCTAGGCCTGATGAGATTGGTTGGCTGGGTCTGAGTACCAAGTTCCTGGTGCCAAGAAAAAGGGAGAAGTCATTGGGTACTTGCCAATTACCCTGTGGGCGCAAAACCTGTGTTTACCTCAGAGTAGGCATTCTGACCTGGGGAGAATGGAGACAGACAAGTGGGCTGACAGACAGTGGTGCACGGTAGGCAGAGGGCCATGCCAGGGGAGCCCGGAGGAAGGAACCCCAATTCAGCCTGAGCCCCACAGAAGAGGTAAAAAAAGGGAGCAGGGCAGAGTCATGCTCAGCCACATGTTTGGGGTCTGGAGTGCAGGACCACGGGAGTCTGATGTGATGTGTCCAGACTGCACTTCCCACCTGGGCCCTAGGCCTCAGGTTCACCTGATGTGAATACGTTTGTCGGGACAGTAATATTTCTACTGCAAATGGGAAACTTCAAATAAAATTCACCTGTGGGATTCTTCAGAGCCTTTAGTCTGCCACTGACTCTCTCCCTCAATGGCTTTGCACTAGACTTATGAAAAGCTACCGTTTACTGGGCATTCACCTATGAGGCAGGTATCAGTCTTTTTTTTTTCTTTTTTGAGACAGAGTCTTGCTCTGTCACCCAGGCTGGGGTGCAGCAGCATGATCTTCGCTCACCGCAATCTCCACCTCCTGAGTTCAAGCTATTCTGCCTCAGCCTCCTGAGTAGTTGGGATTACAGGTGCCCACCACCATGCCCGGCTCATTTTTGTATTTTTAGTAGAAATGGAGTTTCACAATGTTGGCCAGGCTGGTCTCGAACTCCTGACCTCAAGTGATCCTCCCACCCTGGCCTCCCAAAGTGCTGGGATTACAGGCATGAGCACTGTGCCTGTCCGGCACCAATCTTTATATGGCTTATTCCCCTAAATCCTCTCCACAGCCCTGTGTGACAGATAGTATTTGTGTCTCTGTTTTTACAGAAGGGTTCAAAGAGGTGAGATGACTTCTCCAGGGTCCTAATGCCAGGACTGAACTTGGACAGTCTGACTTCAAATTTCATACTCTTAACCTGTGGGCTTACATGTCTGGTGGATGTTGTGCTTTAAAACCCTTTGGGCTTCCACATGTACTTTTCCCCTTTCTGGAATCATCTTTGCCTCTGCCCACTGCATCCTCTTCTTGGCTTGGGTAATTCAAGTTTCACTTTACACCTCCAGGGCAGCTTAGGTCCCTTTGCTTTTTGTTCTCCTATCTTCTTCATTTACAACACCTCTTACTCTATTGTTACTTCCCGCTTGCCTTCAGGTAGACAGTGAGCTCGCTAAGGACACATCTCATTTGCCACTTGGCAAATCAATGCCACTGGCATTCAATAAATACTTGGTATAGGAATGAATTTCCCAAGAAAGTCAGTTTCAATTCGGGGCTGTTAAAATCTCCTGGAAGTGTGCCATGGAACACAGTTCAGAAATTACTGGAAGAATTGGTGCCCGAGTGGTGGAAAAAAACTAAAAATACAAACTTGAGCCAAGCATGGTGGCACGCATCTGTCACCTCAGCTACTTGGGAGACTGAAGGAGGAGGATCACTTGAGCCTAGGAGCCCAAGGCTGCAATGAGCTGTGATAGTGCCACCACACTCCAGCCTGTGTGACATAGTGACCCTGTCTCTAAAAATAAATAAATATAAAAATACAGACTTGCATAAAGTTTTGGAGGGCTCTGGGCTTTAGAACTGTAGATTTGATCATGTGTCATGATGTGGAATCAGGGAAGGGTTTTAAACAAGGGACTTACCCACTATGTGCTTTAAGAAATCCCATAGCTCACAGGGTGCAGTGGCTCACACCTGTAATCCCAACACTTTGAGAGCCCGAGGCGGGTGGATCACGAGGTCAAGAGTTCAAGACCAGTCTGGCCAACATGGTGAAACCCCGTCTCTACTAAAAAGACAAAAAATTAGCCAGGTGTGGTGGCACGCACCTGTAATCCCAGCTACTCAGGAGACTGAGACAGGAGAATCGCTTGAACTTGGGAGGCGGAGGTTGCATTGAGCTGAGATCATGCCATTGTACACCAGACTAGGCGACAGGGCAAGACTCCCATCTCCAAAAAAAAAAAAAGAAACAAAAGAAATTCCATATCTCCGCTTGTTCCCCTTGGGTTGAGTGATGGTTGGAGGTTATAGGAGGAGAAAGGTTTGGGCAGATAGGAATGCAGAAAATTTTTTTTACATATGTATTGTGATGTATGTAAAAATACATAATCTTTCCATATGCTTTATGATATATATAAAACTAAGGTAACAAGTTGTGAGGAGTAGATAGGTTGACTTGGATAGTGGGTAGGTAGGGTTGGAGGAGGCAAATGATATGGTGGAACAAGGACCTTGAAATAAATCCAAAACCCAGGTTTTCCTAGGAAGACCACCAGGAGCCATGATGGGTATCTGAACTGTTGAGCAGGGATAGTGCCTCAGCGGAGACTTGGCAGAAGGCAGGCAGGAGGAGGATGGGAACACTGGTAGTCCTGGTGGCGTTGAGGAGGCTTCAGCAGAGATCCAGTGCTAGGGGCCCTGGAGGGGCTGGTGGCATCCCCTCAATCTTGGTCCTCTCTCCCCAGAGTTGTGTGGGACCCCAGGGTATCTAGCGCCAGAGATCCTTAAATGCTCCATGGATGAAACTCACCCAGGCTACGGCAAGGAGGTCGACCTGTGAGTTCCTGGTCTCCCTCTCCCTCCTGTGCTTGCTGTCCTTTGCCGGGTCTGCCTGTCACCCAGTCCCGCCTGACTCCAGTCTCTTTCCCAGCTGGGCCTGTGGGGTGATCTTGTTCACACTCCTAGCTGGCTCGCCACCCTTCTGGCACCGGCGGCAGATCCTGATGTTACGCATGATCATGGAGGGCCAGTACCAGTTCAGTTCCCCTGAGTGGGACGACTGTTCCAGCACTGTCAAAGACTTGGTGAGCTGGGGCTGAGAGGACAGTAGGGGAGGCCCAAGAGCTGCCCCTCATGCTCTGGGTCTCTCCTAGATTTCCAGGCTGCTGCAGGTGGATCCTGAAGCACGCCTGACAGCTGAGCAGGCCCTACAGCACCCCTTCTTTGAGCGTTGTGAAGGCAGCCAATCCTGGAACCTCACCCCCCGTCAGCGGTTCCGGGTAAGCCTGAGAGTGTCAGGGTCTGGGCCCATTCCTCTGTCCCGTGATCTTTCCCCTGCACTAGAGCTCACCCTGCCCCCCTTCCTAGGTGGCAGTGTGGACAGTGCTGGCTGCTGGACGAGTGGCCCTAAGCACCCATCGTGTACGGCCACTGACTAAGAACGCACTGTTGAGGGACCCTTATGCGCTGCGGTCAGTGCGGCGCCTCATCGACAACTGTGCCTTCCGGCTCTATGGGCACTGGGTGAAGAAAGGGGAGCAGCAGAACCGGGCAGCTCTCTTTCAGCACCGGCCCCCTGGGCCTTTTCCCATCATGGGCCCTGAAGAGGAGGGAGACTCTGCTGCTATAACTGAGGATGAGGCCGTGCTGGTACTGGGCTAGGACCTCAACCCCAGGGATTCCCAGGAAGCAGAACTCTCCAGAAGAAGGGCTTTGATCATTCCAGCTCCTCTGGGCTCTAGCCTCAGGCCTACCACTGATCCTGCTACCCTCTTAAAGACCAGCCTGGTACCTGTCTTCCCACCAGCCAGGGCTCTGAGATCAGAGCTGGGGTGGAAGGGAGCCACTCTGAACGCCACGCCTGGCCCAGTCAGTGCTGCCTGCGCTGCATATGAAATAAAACCCACTACACACCAGGGAGAGCGGGTGTCCTGTGTCTGCTGTCTGGCTTGGGCAGGAAAGCCCAGAAGATACTCACCAGGGTGCAGGGATGGGGCCATTCTGGCCCAGACCTTTATTGGGGAAAATGCTGGGGGTCACTTGGTCTTGCTCTTGCCTTTACCCGGAGGTAGCTGGAAGGGCCGCTCTAGTGCAGTCAACTTGCTGCTGAGCCTTTCCTCGCTGACCTTGAGCTGCTCTTCCACCAGCCGCTGGAGCTCCTCCAGCTCCTTGTTCATTTGGGTCTTGATGTAGGCTCGGAGGATGTGGACGTGGCCTGAAGGGGCAGGGTGAGGAGAGATGCTGTCTGGCAATGGGGATGGTCCCTAGCTGGGCAAACACAGCCCCCAAATTTCCCCTGGGGGATATACAGGTGGCAATGTTGTTTCCCTTTAGGAAATGTCAGCCAGCCCTTGTATGAAAGGTAGTTGGGTAGGGTGGCTATGCTGGACTTTGCAGATTCAAATTCTGATCCCTACTCAGTAGCTGTGTGACCTTAGGCAGGTTATTTAACCTATCCGTGCCTCAGTTTCCTTGTGTGAAATGTGAATAGTGGTACCTAGCACATAGGATTGAGGGAAGATTAAATGAGTTAATTTATATAAAATGCTTAGAGCAGGGCATGCACTGCACACCTATTGCCAAGTATGTGCTGGCTGTTACTGTCATTGGCTTTCTAATGATCATTTCTCTGGAGCCACCTCAGCTGTGCATTTTTTTGTTTGTTTTGAGACAGAGTCTCGCTCTGTGGCCCAGGCTGGAGTGCAGCGGTGAGATCTCGGCTCACTGCAATCTCCGCCTCCTAGGTTCATGCAATTCTCCTGCCTCAGCCTCCCAAGTAGCTGGGACTACAGGAGCGCACCACCATGCCTGACTATTTTTTGTATTTTAGTAGATACGGGGTTTCACAGTGTTGCCCAGGCTGGTCGCAAACTCCTGAGCTCAGGCAATCCACCCGCCTCAGATTGTGTTGGGATTACAGGCATAAGCCACCACACCGGGCCTACAGCTATGCTTTTATCTGTCATCTTGGACTTCTGCATAAGGGATCAGTTAGAGAAAGGACTCTATGACTAAAAACAAAAAGTCTGAAGTCCTGATGTGATCCAAACCCTTCATTCTACACCTGCTCAGAGGGACAGGGCAGCCTGCCCCCCCTCCAGATCCTCACTTGGCTCCGGCTCTGGCGGGGCCACTGTCTCTAGTTCCTCTTCCTGCGGCGTAACTGCCTGCTCCTCCACCTCCTTGCTTTCTTCTTTCTCTGCAAACCAGAAGCAGGAAGAGACTGTGGCCCCAGGCCTGGCCCAGCCCAGCCCTGCCCTGGCATTCTCCCTTACCCGTCTCACTCTCTGGCCACAGTTTGGGTGACTGTAGCCCCATGTAAGTCAAAGACAGATCCAGCCGCACCTGAGAAGCAAAGAAGAGGGAGGCTGAAAAGAGGGCACCTGCGCTGAGGGGATGGGGAGTTGAGGATGGCTCCTCATGGTCCACCACCCCCTACCTGGGGTGTGAAGACGTATTTATAGAGTTTGAAGTGGCGGAAGTAAGTGTTGACCACGTAGTCTTCCAGGGCCAGCAGTTGTTCCTCTTTGAAGAGGTCGATGCTGAAAGGAGGCCGCTGTGGTGGTGACTGGGAATTAGAACCCTGACTACCTCCTGGAGCCCTGGCTTTGCCTCCAAAAGCCTAGCAATCTAGGAGCAAGGAGAGCCCACTGGGGTCTTCACAGGAAGATAAGGGTGATGAATGTGAGAGAAACTGGGCTAGACCTTGTCTGGGGATGGGTAAAGGTTCCAGAATGTTCCAGGGGAACTGACCCTGACTCCGTGGCAAAAAAGAACGCTGGTGAAGTAGTGGTAGCACTCCTCCACGTTGCCCAAGGGGGTTGCTGGTAGGGAAAGCAAGATGCGGCAGTGAGGCCCTCTCTCATATCCATTCATTCACTTCACTCAATAGCTGTTTATGACCATGAGCTTCAGAGGCAGATCTGGGTTTCAGCCCTGGCTTGTTTCCTTAACTCATGTAACAAATATTGAATACCCACTATATGCCCACTGTTTTAGGCACTCAAGACAGACAAGGTCCTGTTCTTACGAAGCTTATATTCTAGGAGAAGTGACACAATAAACCAAGAAATAGCTCATTTCAGCTATTAAACATTCTGAAGCATGAGCTATTAAATATTCTAAAGCAGGTTTTATTGTGCACTATGCATATATTTGCATATATTATTTCTCAGAACAGTCCTGTAAAATGTGCTGTATCATTAATCTCTCTCTCTCTCTCTCTTTTTTTTTTTTTTTTTGAGATAGAGTCACGCTCTGTCGCCCAGGCTAGAGTGCAGTGGCGCGATCTCGGCTCACTGCAAGCTCCACCTCCCGGGTTCAAGCCATTCTCCTGCCTCAGCCTCCCGAGTAGCTGGGACTACAGGCGCCCGCCACCACACCCAGCTAATTTTTGTATTTTTAGTAGAGACAGGGTTTCACTGTATTAGGCAGGATGGTCTCGAACTCCTAACCTTGTGATCCGCCTGCCTCGGCCTCCCAAAGTACTGGGATTACAGGCGTGAGCCACCATGCCTGGCCTGTATCCTTAATTTCTAGATAAGGAAGCAGTGGATTGGAAAGGTGATGGCTTATGTGTGATAATGCTATTAATAATGACATATTCCAGGCAGAAATCCCCTGCTTCTGCTTCCCATGGTCACTTGTGCCAGCCCCAGTTCCTCTTCTCCCTGGGGCTCAAACCTGGTAGCTGCCCCCTCTCACCAATACAAGCCTTGTGAAGATCCTGGAGCAGGGCACAAGCTGCTGAAGTCTGCTCCAGTGAGAAGCCCTGCTGGCGGCAGAAGATGAGCGCGTGGCAGAAGAGGTCCAGGGTGATGGCGTCCCGCAGGTTCTGCTCAGGACACCCTAGCTCCAGCAGCTCAGCCAACACCCTTGGGAGGGAGAGAGTAGTGAGTGACAACTGGAGCCTCCTTTCATCACCCTAAACCCACCACATGCTTTGGAGTCAGCCATTCCTCATGTCTTCCCAACCTGACCCCTCGACCTTTGCCAAGAGCTCTTCCCGCGCCCCCACTCAGTCCCTACTGCCTCATCTCCTCAGCACTGGTAGTCTTCTCCAGCTGGTGCATGGAATGGATGTCCAGGTACTTCCTGTTATAGGAAAAGAAAAAGAGTATTGGTGGCCATTACCTATCATGACAGGGCTGTGACAGCTAGTGCGTGGGACTGGGAGTTGGGCCACTGGTGTGAAGCTGGGCTCTTTTGCCAACTTGCTGTTTATGCAAATCGTTAGCTCTCTGGGCCTAAATGAACTCTTATGAGCCTCTCCATTTCTAAAGCCTAGGGTTAGGAAACTTGAATTCTTTTTTTCTGCTCTGCCACTACCTTGTATGACCTTGGTCAAATCCCCCGTGGCCCTCAGTGTCCCCCTCTGTACAATACTCCATAGCGGTCATGAGACTCCCTTTACATCCTGTCTTTGGCTCTTTTTTTCTCACACTGTCTCCTCTTTGGATTGGGGATGCTGGAAAGCTGGCTTCCAGTCACCTGGAGTAATTGCATCTCTGGGCCTCAGTCTCCTCATCTGTAAAAATGGGGATGCCCTGGCCACAGACAGGACTGTTGGGGAGGCAATAAAGGAAGAACGCAAATATTCAGTGTAACTCTTCCCCAAGTCTCTTCACACTCACCACATGCAGATCCGGGGTCGGGGCAGCGGCGGCTGCGGAAAGAAAGCGAATTGGGGAAGGCAGCTGTGGTGTCCTGGCCGTCGCGAATCTGCAGCGGGCCCCAGAACTCGCTGTAACTTGCCATCTCATCTCAACGACTAAGAAGGAGAGGCGCGGGCGAGGGCGGGCTTCAGGAGGCCCTAGGTGCTCTATGCGAGCACAATAACCACCAGGGTCACACACCCCTGCCTCTCCTCGCCCAGGCAGCGCGGGAGACGTCCCGAACGTTAGTAAGCATAATGACGATTGGTGCCTGCGGGGGAGCCCGTTTATAAATATTCACGAGCGGACCAGACTGTCCCGCCCTCACCGGGAACAAGTTGGCTCCGGGGTCTTCATCCGCTTTCGCCGCCGCCGCCGCCGCCGCCGTCGACTGGGTCCGCACACTCGCTCGCGTCCGCGCGGCCGACCCACGCACTGAGATGCGATCCTTCCCCGCTTCCCGCCGCAGCTCGGAGAGATGTTCAAGCTCCGACTGCACTCTCATTCCCAAAAAGTGGCTGGTCTTGCGGTTGAGCATCTCGCCGCTCTTCCGTGCCGCGGCGCGCCCCGGGCTCCCGCCGCCTCGGTTCCAGGACAGCCAGCGCTCGGTCTGCGGCTACCAAGGCCGGGCCCACTCGCCTTGCTCCGGCCAATCTGCGCTCCAAGAGGCGCGGCGGAGCGAATCTGTGGGGGCGTCTCCCTCCGTCTCAACGGCGACGGTTGCCAAGGGGGCTTGTGAAGGAAGGAAGGCCGGAACCGCAAGCTCACGCCAGTGGGTGCGAAGAGAACGCGCAGATACGTAAGAAGTTGCGAGTGCCCACCTGAGCTCCCTCTCTTCCAAGTTGCTAATACGAGGGCCGGCGCTGTCCTCAAGGCGGGGAAGTGGGAGCTTGGTGTCAGTTACTATGGGAACTGCCTCTTGGCCAATCACCGAGAGAAAGAGAAGGTGTTTGGGAAGAAGCCAGAGGACCCGAGAGGCGGGACCAAGCGTAACCAATAGAAGCAGAAGATAAAGAAGTTTCCTCACATCCGGGGCTGCCTCCGGCGCCTGCGCCCTGCGCACCGTTGGGGGGCCAGTGACGTCTAGTGACGTCTGGTGAAATCCAAGATGGCGGCGCTAGGCTGACCCTGTTGCTGGTGAGGGCTCTGGCGCCGGCGGGGACGGGATCCAGCAGGTGTGTGCGGGGTGGAGGGTGTTTGGGGCTGTGGAACACCAGCCGTTCCCACATCTCTGCTCTCTGTCTTCTGCAGGTGACGGAAGTACCGCCTCCTCCCGTCTGACGCCCCTCAGGGGACCCTGCGCCGCTCCAGCTGCCGCGGCCATGTCTGGGCTAGGCAACAAACGCGCCGCCGGCGACGGGGGCTCAGGGCCCCCGGAGAAGAAGCTGAGTCGTGAGGAGAAGACCACCACCACTCTCATCGAGCCCATTCGTCTTGGAGGCATCTCTTCCACGGTTCTTGGGCTCTTGCCTTAACCCTCAGAATTTCCCAGAGCCCTCCCTCTGTTCTCTGGCCAAATTGTCCAGAATCCTACACCCACTTCCCCAAGTTTAGCAAGGTCCGCGTTACAGGATACTCTGTTGAAAGAAGCCGAGAACACGACGCCTGTCTTCCTTTTACAGATAGGAAAACAGGTTCCCAGGGGGCGTGTGTCTTGTCAAAGACTAAGGGGTTAGAAGGGGACAGGCAGAAACAACGTGAGCCTCCTCACAACCAAGACACTTTCGCTGTGGGTTGTCTGAGCCTCCTTAGATTCTGTTAGCGGTTAGTGTGGGAATACCCCCATCTCCCATGCATTCCAGATGCTCTGCTCCTCTCTTGCTGTGTGATTGGTTTCTGGGCTCTGCTTGATATTCTCGTCGGCCCCTTTGTTTCCTTTGGTAGGAGGAGATGGACCTGAAGGTACTACAGTTCAAGAACAAAAAACTGGCAGAGCGGCTGGAACAACGGCAGGCTTGTGAAGATGAACTCCGAGAACGAATTGAGAAGTTGGAGAAGCGGCAGGCCACAGATGATGCCACACTCCTCATCGTCAATCGCTACTGGGCTCAGGTGGATGCCTTCTGCTTTCCAAGACCAGGCCTTGATTCAGCTGCCAATCCCCAGATTCCCCTGCTGGAAAAGGAGTATAGTGTTGGAAAGCACTAAGGGATTCATAACATTTTTGATGCTTTCTCCTTCCAGCTGGATGAAACTGTGGAAGCCCTTCTCCGATGCCATGAGGGCCAGGGCGAGCTGTCTTCAGCGCCTGAAGCACCTGGGACCCAGGAGGGGCCCACATGTGATGGGACTCCTCTCCCAGAGCCGGGGACATCAGAGCTGAGGGGTGAGACCAGAGTTCTGGGATCTAGGGAGCTTCAGTACTGGGAAAAGTCCTGGGGAGGAGGGGACTTTGGTGTTGGGCCTCTGAATTGCCTGCCTTATTACTCCCCACGAAATGGATTTCATGTTTGGGTGGTAAAGTGCAGTGCACAAAAATACAGGCTTTGGACTCTGACTAACTTGGTTTATAGAGCAATTCATGTTTTGACACCCATTTGTTTGAAAACAGTATTACGGTTGAGTGTTAACTATGTATTTGACGCTTTCTAGAAATGGGTACTTGCTCGTTGCATTTGCTATGAGGAAGGAAATTACAAACATAGTAAGCAGAAAGTACTGGGGCTCCTGAAAGGGAATAATTGTGTGTGCACACGTGTGTGTATGTGAGATTCTAATTTTTATTGGGAAAGTACAGGAGGCATCCCTGAGGATGTGATACGCAACTCTGTAGCTTTGAGGAAATTACTTTACCTCCCTGAACCTCATTTGTCTCACTTTCAGGATGGAGATAATAGTGCACTATAGGTTGTGTTGATTAAGTGAGCCATGAATATTGAAGGGCTTAGTCTGGAACTTAGTACAGAGTGGTGGTAACTGCTGCTATTATCCTCATGAGGGTCTGTCCAATCCTTCCAGAGCCCTTGCCATTGCAGCTGCGGCCCCCTCTCAGTGAGCCGGCCTTGGCTTTTGTGGTGGCACTGGGTGCCAGCAGCAGTGAGGAGGTGGAGCTGGAGCTGCAAGGTCGAATGGAGTTCTCTAAGGCAGCTGTGTCTCATGTGGTAGAGGCCTCAGACCGCCTACAGCGCCGGGTGGAGGAACTCTGTCAGCGAGTGTATAGCCGAGGTGGGTTCTTTGTGCCCATACCCAAGAGGGGTCCATCCCTACCTGCATCTTGATGGCACCCCTTCCCAATTCCCCTAATGCCCAAGTCCAAGGGTGGCCAGAATTCCCCAAGGAATATATCAGCCATGTTCTTGGGAGGGGTAGGTTGGCTGTAGATGGGGGTTCCAACTTTGATTCCTGGACTGAATGCTAGAGAGATGGGTTGGAGGAGCTGTTGATGCTGGTAGAGCCTCCTGTCCAGAGGCCCCTCTGGAGCACTTAGTGTGGGTTGCAGATCCACAAGGCATAGCTTCAAGGGCTCAGGCCTTGTAGGTTGACAGGCTTCTCCCACCTCAGTTCTGCCACCCTCACCTGGACATGCTGGGAAAGTGGCTCCCCTCTCTGAGCTGGTTTCCTCCTCTGTGCAGTGGAGATAAAGACTCCTAGCTTTGTCATGAGAAATTGGCAAGACAGCTGGGGGATCACACTGGGCACATAGCAGACTCCAGAATGAGTTAGTTCTTTGCCCCATTGCCCTGAGCTGGACTCTTAACCTGGGCCCTGCTTTCCCAGGGGACAGTGAGCCCCTCAGTGAGGTGGCTCGGGCACGCACCCGAGAGCTGGGCCGTGAGAACCGGCGACTGCAGGACTTGGCCACCCAGCTGCAGGAGAAACACCACCGCATCTCATTGGAGGTGAGGAGCCAGGGACTTTGGGAGTGGGAGTGGGATTAGAATCAGGCAGGATTTGGGTTAGATGGGCCCTCAGGGACCAAGTCCCCCATCCAAGCATCTGCTCCCTCATTGTTCCCAGTACTCCGAGCTCCAGGATAAAGTGACGTCGGCAGAGACCAAGGTGTTGGAGATGGAGACAACAGTGGAGGACTTGCAGTGGGACATTGAGAAGCTGCGGAAGCGAGAGCAAAAGCTCAATAAGCACCTGGCAGAGGCCTTAGAGCAGGTGGGGCAGGGGTACTGGGGCAGGTGAGGCAAGGCTGGGCCCTTGGGTCCTAGCTCCTCCCTTCCACTTCCATTGCCTGTCTGTTTTCTCTCCACAGCTGAACTCTGGCTACTATGTGTCTGGGAGCTCCTCAGGCTTCCAGGGGGGCCAGATCACACTCAGCATGCAGAAGGTGAGCGGCGTCTTCCTCCCACCCCTTCTCATGACCTCTTCTGTGTTGCACTCTTGAAATTCCCCTCGAGACGAAGGACAAACGTCCATCTCCAAGGCCCTTCTTGGTCACTCCTGTTGCTCTTTCTTTCATGCATTCATATACTTTTTGAGTAAATTTTTGAACACTTAGTGCTAGGCACTAGGCATATTGGGGAGAACAAAATAGAGGTTAAAACTTTCATGGACCAGACAAGAAATAAATAAAAGAATATATCTTTAGGTTCTACTTGTTGTAACAAACAAGAAATCGGTAAAATAGCCTATCGTTGTGTTATGAGTACCACAAAGATAAAGCACAGAAGAGAGAGAGAGGAGTGAGTTGGAGTCAGTTGGCATCTGGTGGTCACTGTGCCCTTTTTCCCTTTACTGGCACTTTAGGCCTTCCTGGAATGCTTCCATGATTCCCCATCAGTTAAGAGCCTTAGTTCTCAACACCAACCATGCAGTATTGAATTTTCTCCCATTTGTCTGGGAGCCCTTAGGAAAGTACTTGGTTTGGGGCATCAGAATCGGTCATTGCCCTGCACGGAGTGCTTGGGCTGGAGTGTTTGCTGGGGATGTAAGGGAAGCCTGCTGCCATATCTGGCCCTGCCTCCCATGGCCCCGCCTCCCACTCCTTAGTTTGAGATGCTGAATGCAGAGTTGGAGGAAAACCAGGAATTGGCCAACAGCCGCATGGCAGAGCTGGAGAAACTGCAGGCTGAACTTCAGGGGGCTGTGCGGACCAATGAGCGCCTCAAGGTGGGCTGCCGTAGGGGCTGAGAAGGCCTGTGCCTGTAAGGGAGGGACTGAGGCCTGAATCCTCTTGCTGATCCCATTTGGGCATCCCTGCCCCAGGTGGCCTTGCGGAGCCTTCCCGAGGAGGTAGTGCGGGAGACAGGGGAGTACCGCATGCTGCAGGCCCAGTTCTCACTGCTCTACAACGAGTCTCTGCAAGTGAAGACCCAGCTGGACGAGGCTCGGGGCCTGCTGCTGGCCACCAAAAACTCCCACCTGCGACATATAGAGCACATGGAGGTATGGCTCTGGAACAGGCGTGGGGACTGGGCTAAGGGCCAGACCCTTAGTGTTGAGGTGTTGGTGGCTTCAGAGGCCCTGTGTGCCAGCCAGGGGTCCCTGGGGAATAGATTTTTCCTAAGATACTGAATCCTGAGGTGGGACCGAGGGACTGTGTGGGTCCTTAACATGTCAATCCACAGAGCGACGAGCTGGGGCTGCAGAAGAAGCTGCGCACAGAGGTCATTCAGCTGGAGGACACGCTGGCCCAGGTACGCAAGGAGTACGAGATGCTGCGCATCGAGTTTGAGCAGAATCTGGCGGCCAACGAGCAGGCGGGTATGTGGTGAGGATAGGGCGGAGGTGGGGCCTTATCTGGGAGTGCTGGGCCCTGGTGTGGGGCTGCTGCTTATCCAGATGCAAGAGGCTAAGGCCTTTTTTTTTCACAGAGCCTGGGCTTCCTATGCAAAACAGGGCCTGCACTGCTTGGCTCCCAGGCACAGTGAGGGTCACGCCAGCTGGGATGGCTGATGGAGCAGGCACATGCAGAGTTTGAGCTGTCAGCCCTGTCCACAGTCTTCTGGTCTGATGATGTCTCTCTCTCTCAGATACCTGTGTTACAAAGATTTATCAGATGCCACCTATGAGCCAGGCTCTGTTCTAGGGTTTGGGGTTATGCCAGTGAACAAAACAGAATTCCTGCCATGTAGAGCAACATTCTGATAGAAGACAGACTAGAGAAAGATGA